TCAATTAAAGTTTGTGACTTAGAAAATTTTCAGCTGATCGAATAAATTTTTTCGTCTTGGACCGACTTAGAAATGTCCAAAAGGCATAATGATGAAGAAAGTTTTAGCTCAGGAAAATTTTGAAGCACATTTTGACATATAAACTTTCAGACAGTATACGTATATGCAAATGAATCCTTACCCGTCCGATCATTATAAATAGTATTACGCTTACCCGTTACCCGTGGGATCAATCTTGAGTCAACTAAAGTTTGGGACTTAGAAAATTTCGAGCTGATCGAATAAACTTTTTCGTCATGGACCGACTTACAAATGTCCAAAAGGCATAATGATGAAGAAAGTTGTGGCACAGGAAAATTTTGAAGCACATTTTGACATATAAACTTTCAGACAGTATACGTATATGCAAATGAATCCTTACCCGTCCGATCATTATAAATAGTATTACGCTTACCCGTTACCCGTGGGATCAATCTTCAGTCAACTAAAGTTTGGGACTTAGAAAATTTCGAGCTGATCGAATAAACTTTTTCGTCATGGACCGACTTACAAATGTCCAAAAGGCATAATGATGAAGAAAGTTGTGGCACAGGAAAATTTTCAAGCACATTTTGACATATAAACTTTCAGACAGTATACGTATATGCAAATGAATCCTTACCCGTCCTATATTATAAATAGTATTACGCTTACCCGTTACAACGTGGGATCAATCTTGAGTCAACTAAAGTTTGAGACTTAGAAAATTTCGAGCTGATCGAAAAAGTTTTTTCGTCATCGACCGACTTAGAACGGATCAGTCATGAGTCGGCTAAATGGTTAAATCGATTGAAAATTGTCCTAATATACAAAATATTATCATAATATGAATATTCAGCTGTTAAGATATGTGATTTAGAGAGTTTTGGAATTATAATGCCAAAGAGAAATAAAGAAAAAATTATACGAAAAGAGAGTTTTACCTGGAAATGGTCCACAACTTTCGATCATTATGGCCTCAGTCTTTACCACTAAACCATGATGGCAACGATGGAAACAGCTAATATATTACAATTCTTCAATATTCTCTGTTTTGCGTTGTACCAGGTGTATGTAGATTTTTTCGCGAAAAGTTATGGGAAAAGTTACGAGAGTTTTACCTGGGAACGGTCCACAACTTTCGCTCATGATGGCCTCATTCTTTACCACTATACCATGATGGCAACGATGGAAACAGTCAACATATTACAATTCTTCAATATTCTCTGTTTTGCGTTGTACTAGATGTATGTAGATTTTTTCGATTTCACCCTACAGAAGAATTCTCTTCAGCGCTCTACATCCTTGTTCATCCCTCGTCATCCTTGGTTAAATCGACTCAAAATTGTCCTAATATACAAAAAATTATCAAAATATGAGTATTCAGCTGTTAGGAGGGGCGATTTAGAGAGTTTTTGGAAAAATATTGGCAAAACGAAATAAAGAAAAAATTATACGAAAAGTTACGAGAGTTTTACCTGGAAACGGTCCACAACTTTCGCTCATGATGGCCTCAGTCTTTACCACTATACCATAATGTCAACGATGGAAACAGCTAATATATTGCAATAGTTCAATATTCTCTGTTTTCAGTTCTACTTGATGTATGAAGATTTTTTGCATTTCACCCTGGACAAGAATTCTCTTCAGAGTTATTCATCCTTGTTCATCTCTCGTCATCCTTGGTTAAATCGACTCAAAATTGTCCTAATATACAAAAAAATATCTAAAAATGAATATTCAGCTGTTGGGAGGTGCGATTTAGAGACTTTTTTGGAAAAATAATGGCAAAAAGAAATAAAGAAAAATTATACGAAAAGTTACGAGAGTTTTACCTGGAAACGGTCCACAACTTTTGCTCATGATGGCCTCAGTCTTTACCACTATACCATGATGGCAACGATGGAAACAGGTAACACGTTGCAATAGTTCAATATTCTCTGTTTTCAGTTCTACTTGATGCATGTATGTAGATTTTTTGCATTTCACCCTGGACAAGAATTCTCTTCAGAGTTATTCATCCTTGTTCATCTCTCGTCATCCTTGGTTAAATCGACTCAAAATTGTCCTAATATACAAAAAAATATCTAAAAATGAATATTCAGCTGTTAGGAGGTGCGATTTAGAGACTTTTTTGGAAAAATAATGGCAAAAAGAAATAAAGAAAAAATTATACGAAACGTTACGAGAGTTTTACCTGGAAACGGTCCACAACTTTTGCTCATGATGGCCTCAGTCTTTACCACTATACCATGATGGCAACGATGGAAACAGCTAACACATTGCAATAGTTCAATATTCTCTGTTTTCAGTTCTACTTGATGTATGTAGATTTTTTGCATTTCACCCTGGACAAGAATTCTCTTCAGAGTTGTTCATCCTTGTTCATCTCTCGTCATCCTTGGTTAAATCGACTCAAAATTGTCCTAATATACAAAAAAATATCTAAAAATGAATATTCAGCTGTTAGGAGGTGCGATTTAGAGAATTTTTTGGAAAAATAATGGCAAAAAGAAATAAAGAAAAATTATACGAAAAGTTACGAGAGTTTTACCTGGAAACGGTCCACGACTTTCGCTCATGATGGCCTCAGTCTTTACCACTATACCATGATGGCAACGATGGAAACAGCTAACATATTGCAATAGTTCAATATTCTCTGTTTTCAGTTCTACTTGATGTATGTAGATTTTTTGCATTTCACCCTGGACAAGAATTCTCTTCAGAGTTGTTCATCCTTGTTCATCTCTCGTCATCCTTGGTTAAATCGACTCAAAATTGTCCTAATATACAAAAAAAATATCTAAAAATGAATATTCAGCTGTTAGGAGGTGCGATTTAGAGACTTTTTTGGAAAAATAATGGCAAAAAGAAATAAAGAAAAATTATACGAAAAGTTACGAGAGTTTTACTGGAAACGGTGCACAACTTTCGCTCATGATGGCCTCAGTCTTTACCACTATACCATGATGGCAACGATGGAAACAGCTAACATATTGCAATAGTTCAATATTCTCTGTTTTCAGTTCTACTTGATGTATGTAGATTTTTTGCATTTCACCCTGGACAAGAATTCTCTTCAGAGTTGTTCATCCTTGTTCATCTCTCGTCATCCTTGGTTAAATCGACTCAAAATTGTCCTAATATACAAAAAAATATCTAAAAATGAATGTTCAGCTGTTAGGAGGTGCGATTTAGAGACTTTTTTGGAAAAATAATGGCAAAAAGAAATAAAGAAAAATTATACGAAAAGTTATGAGAGTTTTACCTGGAAATGTTCACAACTTTCGCTCATGATGGCCTCAGTCTTTACCACTATACCTTGATGGCAACAAGGAAACAGGTAACACATTGCAATAGTTCAATATTCTCTGTTTTCAGTTCTACTTGATGCATGTATGTAGAGTTTTTGCATTTCACCCTGGACAAGAATTCTCTTCAGAGTTATTCATCCTTGTTCATCTCTCGTCATCCTTGGTTAAATCGACTCAAAATTGTCCTAATATACAAAAAAATCTAAAAATGAATATTCAGCTGTTAGGAGGTGCGATTTAGAGACATTTTTGGAAAAATAATGGCAAAAAGAAATAAAGAAAAATTTTACGAAAAGTTACGAGAGTTTTACCTGGAAACGGTCCACAACTTTTGCTCATGATGGCCTCAGTCTTTAACACTATACCATGATGGCAACGATGGAAACAGCTAACACATTGCAATAGTTCAATATTCTCTGTTTCCAGTTCTACTTGATGTATGTAGATTTTTTGCATTTCGCCCTGGACAAGAATTCTCTTCAGAGTTGTTCATCCTTGTTCATCTCTCGTCATCCTTGGTTAAATCGACTCAAAATTATCCTAATATACAAAAAAATATCTAAAAATGAATATTCAGCTGTTAGGAGGTGCGATTTAGAAACTTTTTAGGAAAAATAATGGCAAAAAGAAATAAAGAAAAATTATACGAAAAGTTACGAGAGTTTTACCTGGAAACGGTCCAGAACTTTCGCTCATGATGGTCTCAGTCTTTACCACTATACCATGATGGCAACGATGGAAACAGCTAACACATTGCAATAGTTCAATATTTTCTGTTTCAGTTCTACTTGATGTATGTAGATTTTTTGCATTTCGCCCTGGACAAGAATTCTCTTCAGAGTTGTTCATCCTTGTTCATCTCTCGTCATCCTTGGTTAAATCGACTCAAAATTATCCTAATATACAAAAAAATATCTAAAAATGAATATTCAGCTGTTAGGAGGTGCGATTTAGAAACTTTTTAGGAAAAATAATGGCAAAAAGAAATAAAGAAAAATTATACGAAAAGTTACGAGAGTTTTACCTGGAAACGGTCCAGAACTTTCGCTCATGATGGTCTCAGTCTTTACCACTATACCATGATGGCAACGATGGAAACAGCTAACACATTGCAATAGTTCAATATTTTCTGTTTCAGTTCTACTTGATGTATGTAGATTTTTTGCATTTCACCCTGGACAAGAATTCTCTTCAGAGTTGTTCATCCTTGTTCATCTCTCGTCATCCTTGGTTAAATCGACTCAAAATTGTCCTAATATACAAAAAATTATCAAAATATGAGTATTCAGTTGTTAGGAGGGGCGATTTAGAGACTTTTTGGAAAAATAATGGAAAAAGAAATAAAGAAAAAATTATACGAAAAGTTACGAGACTTTTAGCTGGGACTGCACCACAACTTTCGCTCATGACGGCCACGGTATTTACCACTATACCGTGATGTCAACGATCAAACAGGTAACAAATTACATGCAATAGTCAATACTTAAATATTCTATTTCCCGTTGTACTATGGCTGTATGTAGATTTTTTGGATTTCACCCTACATAAGATTCTCTTCATCGCTATACATCGTTGTTCATGCCCTCTTCATCGTTGGTCAAATGGACTCAAAATTGTCCAAATGTATGAAATGTTATCAAAATATGGGTATTAGCTGTTATGGGGAGCTTCGGGAAAGATAATGGCAAAAAAGAAATAAAAAAAAATTATGTACGAAAAATGTACAATACTTATACCGGGGAAATGTCCACAACTTTCGCCCATGATGGCCTCGGTGTTTACCACCATAACATGATCTCAACGATGGAAACAGGTAACAAATTACATCACTCCAATGTTGTGTTTACTGCTGTAATGTAGATAGTATATTTCGATTTCACCCCAAATAAGAATTCTCTTCATCGCGTCGTTCAGTTAAATCGATTCAAAATTGTGTAAATTTACAAAATATTATCAAAATATAAGTATTTAAGCTGTTATGAGAAGCGATTTGGGAATTTGAAAAAACAATGGCAAAAAGAAATAAAAATAACTATACGAAAAGTTATGAGACTTTCAGCTGGGACTGCTCCACAACTTTCGCTCGTGATGGCCACAGTGTTTACCACTATACCATGATGTCAACGATGAAACAGGTAACAAATTACAATAGTCAATACTTAAATATTCTATTTCCCGTTGTACTATAGCTGTATGTAGATTTTTGGGATTTCACCCCACGTATAGGATTCTCTTCATCCTTCTACATCTTTGTTCATCCCTCGTCATCCTTGGTTAATAAATCGACTCAAAGTTGTCCAAATATACAAAATATTCTCAAAATATAAGTATTAAGCTGCTATGTGGAGCGATTTGGAGATTTTGAAAAAATAATGGCAAAAAGAAATAAAGAAAAAATTAGTTACGGGACTTTTAGCTGGGACTGCTCCACAACTTTCGCTCATGATGGCCACGGTGTTTACCACTATACCATGATGTCAACGATCAAACAGGTAACAAATTACATGCAATAGTCAATACTTAAATATTCTATTTCCCGTTGTACTATGGCTGTATGTAGATTTTTTGGATTTCACCCTACATAAGATTCTCTTCATCGCTATACATCGTTGTTCATGCCCTCGTCATCGTTGGTCAAATCGACTCAAAATTGTCCAAATATACAAAATGTTATCAAAACATGGGTATTAGCTGTTATGGGGAGCGATTTGAAGACTTTCGGGAAAGATAATGGCAAAAAAAGAAATAAAAAAAAAATATGTACGAAAAATGTACAAAACGTATACCGGGGGAAGGTCCACAACTTTCGCCCATGATGGCCTCGGTGTTTGCCACTATACCATGATGTGAACGATAAAGCAGGTAACAAATTACAATAGTCAATACTTAAATATTCTATTTCCCGTTGTACTATAGCTGTATGTAGATTTTTGGGATTTCACCCCACGTATAGGATTCTCTTCATCCTTCTACATCTTTGTTCATCCCGCGTCATCCTTGGTTAAATCGACTCAAAATTGTCCAAATATACAAAATATTTTCGAAATATAAGTATTACTAACCATTACAGAATTTCAAGTTGCAAATCGCCCAACAGCAGCAAAACAGCCAATTTCGCATTCATATAAGCATTGTATCTCTAATAATAATAATAGCATTTAATATCCATCTTTGGTTAGAAAAGTACAATGGATTTACAAGAAGTGCTAAGGTTAAAATTGATAAGAAGAAATTTTACTATTATTTACATCAATGTTGCTAAAAATGTTATACTAGTTATATATTCTATAAAATTAATTTAGGACTGTTTTAAAAGGGATATATAGCTCTAGGTATAAATGATTGCCGGTGTATTTTAGTATACGATACAACATATGGTAGATTATTTGTTGTTCTTAGATCGTGTTCATGGGTAAAAGGTTGGGGGATAAGTTTATTACATGGGTTGGTCGGATCACTTAGAATTCTTTGGTATTCCTTAACAGTTAGGTGTGCCCTTCTTTGTTCTAGCGTTTCAAAGTTGCACCGAGATGTGCCGAGGATTTTGATGCATCTGTTTTGAGTGCTCTCTATTTCATCAATGAGATATTGTGGTAAACCACCACATATCGGAGCTGCATATTCTAAAACAGGTCTAATCTTGGATTCATAACATGTAATACCGACCTCAGGAGGAAGGTTCGCTCTACGGCATTCTTTCAGACTAAACATTCGTTTATTTGCTTTCCTTACAATGTTCTTAACATGACAGTTCCATTTCAAATTTTTTTGATGCCAGACACCCAACAGTTTATGAGAATTTACTCTTTCCACTGCCTCGTTTCCAATGACCAATGGTTCTGGTGCCGGTATTGCTGTGTTAAAACATATCCACATATCTTTTGTTTTCTTCGAATTTATCGTCATTTTGTTCCTATTAGACCATTCTTGTACTGCTTCAAGGGCCTCCTGCATATGGCTGGATGAACCTTGTGACACCACTTCGTCCTGTGTACAATCATCCGCGTATTTGCATATATTTATGGTAATCCATCTGGGATTGAGTTCTCAATATCGTTAATGTGAATATTAAAGAGCTGGGGACATCACAGAACCTTGTGGGACTCCTGCAGGACAAGGTTTGACCGATGATAGGGTTCCTGCTAGGTTGACCTGTTGTCTTCTATCTTCCAGAAAACTACGTGTCCATAGCCAAAAGGCTTTGGTTACATTCATTTCTGCGAGCTTACGAAGTAGAATTCCGTGGTCAATAAGGTCAAACGCTTTGCGAAAATCTATGAATAGTGCATGAACTCCATTTTTGGCGCTATGCGTATTGTCGGTCGCATTAAACCAGTTCTGCGAGATGTTGGTGAGTGCGGACACGGTTGATCGTTTGCTTGTAAAGGCATGCTGATTATCATTTATACGTGAACTGGGAAGGTTCAGTTTGAGCTGCAGCTTTTCCAGCACTTTAGCCATTTGGGGAAGAATGGATATCTGGCGAAAGTCATTCTCGATATCTCTTGGTGGATTGACCTTCGGAACTGGTATAACTAAGGCATGTTTCTATCCAGCAAACCACCCTATCGATTTTGTAAAGTCGTTTCTTTTTGGATTTTTTTATTAATTCGGTTAGGGTTAGGGTTAGGGTTAGGGTTAGGGTTAGGAGTTAGAGTAGGGGTAGGGTTTGGGTTAGTTACATGGCCATTTAACACCTCTTCTATGTTGCGAAAATGACGTCAGGTCAGTTTGCTGGATGGAAAATAGTGTAGTTCGATAATTTTGATATATAATATATTCATTGCTTCCAGGGCAATTTCATGGAAATTTAAGGAAATATCATTAGGAAAAGAGGAAATTTGGATTTTTAAGCGGAAGCACTGGCTTAAAGATAAATAATGAATAATGAAAAATGCCGCATGTGATTTGAAAATTTAGCGAACGCAAATCAGAGACTTTCATTCTTCCCATGGCCTACAACTTGTCACAACGGCATTTATATTACACATCACCTTGTGACCATCGCAAATTAACGTTCATGCAGGAATGCTCATGGCATATGAAGTAGAAGCATACATCAAATTATTTCAGCACTTTGTGGTGATACAGAGTTTCAATATCCAATAACACAGCGCCATTTTGTATATTTCCAGCTTCTGTTTAGGGTACTTGCTGATTGACGAATCATGACGATAATAAGCCTTACGCAGATGACCTTCTGCCTAGTATTCTGTGCTCACGAAAATCATTAATTGCACTCCTGGACTGGAGAGTGCAATTAATGAAATAATTGCCCTCTCTTAACCAATCAGATTGCAGTAATTTTGTCATGTATATAATAGAGGTTTATACAGTAAAACCCCGCCATATATTTGCGAAAAAACACACTGTGCTAACTTTTTTTTACCTCCAAACTACTACAACCTTGTATTTGAGAAAAATTGGTATTAGCCAAATTTAATTATAAACTAAGTAATACGCCACTTTCAAATTACGAAGTCTAGTACTTGGCGTGTATTGTTCTTCAGAAAATAATCATTTTTCAAACAAAATGAGAAAAAATACGCCAAGAATGAGCGTATATATCACCTTATTTACATATAAAAATTAAAATACACATAAATTTCATCAACTAATGGGTTCCTTCAACAAACATCGCAAGGAGTGGAATGTTAGACAACTATTTTACCAAACGTCCGTGTGGTCTGGTAACGAGGTTGTATTTAGAGAAGAATTTAGTCAAGGCAAGCAAATAATTTTCTTTCCTTTCCAGATCTCATCTTGCACTTTATCACTTGATGTCGATTTTTCAGCTTGACCCGAGAATATTGCGCACAGGAAAACCAGGACTGTGCCTCCCAAAGCTGAGTAGAAAGCCCAACCAAGAGAACAACCCCCCAGTTTGAACGCGGATGGTTTGTTTTCATCATCAACTGGATTTTTGTAACAGTAACGAACAAATATATCATTTTCATCACCCCATCCAGCAGGCCATAACACCAGGCCGACCAAGAGAAATAAACCTAAAAATAAAACGATAATAGTTAACAAAGAAAAAGACTGGCAGTGCGTTATGCCCATGCGCAGCATGGTTTGTCCATGCAAATCTATCTGGTATTGAAAGAACATGCGTGGTGTTTCCACAAACAAAACTATTATATGTTTTATCGCCATGCAAACTTACAAAGAACTTATTAACATGTAAATCTATCTGATATTGAAAGAACATGCAAATCTATCTGATATTGCAAGAACATGCAAATCTATCTTATATTGCAAGAACATGCAAATCTATGTTATATTGCAAGAACATGCAAATCTATCTGATATCGTAATTACATGAAAATCTATCTGATATTGCAAGAACATGCAAATCTATCTGATATCGTAATTACATCAAGTTTACCCGCAATGGCTTGTACAACACCAACAATTGAGATCAGGGGTTTCTTGCCAATTTTCTGCACACAGAAGGCCAACAGTGCCATAAACACACATATTGTAGCCACGGCAGTGCCGAAGACTGTAAACACCAAACTTGCTTTCCAGAAATTACTAGGTAAATCATTTAAACTGTCGACATATCTACGACATGACCATCTTGTTTTGTTCAAAGCTATATCCTGTCGAGAACATCGTGTATACAGACCAATAGTGGGGTTCTTTCCAGAAGTTTTATAGTTATCAGAGGCGTTGTTCCAGTTGGGTGAAATAATAGCAGCGACTAAAGCCATTACAGCAGTCAGAGACAGTAACATCCAGAGTAGATTTCGAAATGTCACAATGACAAACCCCATCGTCTTTTAATATAATTTACTTGATCGTGTGAATTGTTAATGAGCGTGTATCTAGAATTAAAACCAAATAAACTACTTTACGTTTGCAGTTGGTGTTTTATCGTGGCTACTGATGGCAATAAATGGATAAAAAGGTTTGAGCACGTCATGCTTTTGAATATCATTCAATCATTCTTAATTAGCAACAAAAAACAACGAATCTTCGAGCAATTTGCGGGAAGTCAATTATTCATACTTGGCGCAAGACGAAGGACTTTTCCAACTTGCGGCGCGCCAAATTTGACTCACCCCGGGGTGGTAACGCTGATCTCTATAAAATACGCACATGCTTTGTTGATGTGAATGAAAGATCTGGACGTCTAACACTAGAAACGCAACTTCAAACACTGACAAGAACCGCATTTGCTACAAGACTGAATTTTACCTTTCTTCATTAAAATCGTAATCTTCGCAAACTAAAGCTTATTACGTCATATCGTATACCATACGTCATTTCGATACCGTAAATCCTGCGTGGGTTTATGTTTGCAAGATAAATACAGAGGCTCTTCTTAATCTCGTCATTTTACTACGAAAACAGCAAGATTAAGCAAAGTGCATCATTTGAAAACTTCCACAGACATTAAATTGTGATAATATTACTCTACGGAGTAAACATGAATCAACAGATTTAGGTATTTGACTGTAGTATATCTAAAATCGTAATCTTCGCAAACTAAAGCTTATTACGTCATATCGTATACCATACGTCATTTCGATACCGTAAATCCTGCGTGGGTTTATGTTTGCAAGATAAATACAGAGGACTCTTCTTAATCTCGTCATTTTACTACGAAAACAGCAAGATTAAGCAAAGTGCATCATTTGAAAACTTCCACAGACATTAAATTGTGATAATATTACTCTACGGAGTAAACATGAATCAACAGATTTAGGTATTTGACTGTAGTATATCGTCATAATGTGACAGGTAGCTTCACATCTGATGTAGACACGCTATATGCGATGAGACGCAATACATTACGAGGGCCATAGGCGTACAGGGGAAAAAAGGGCGACGGACAAAAATTTGCCCGACATGGGTGGAAATTGCCGGAACATTATCATGGGTAATAGATGAATAGAAAAACTATATCCTGGGCTTTCATTCTTTAAGATACATCGAGCTCACTCCATTGCATGCAATTTACATTTAATGAAACAAATTTCAATCTGAATTTCTCGGACTAAATATTGTTCTTACGTCTGTTATGACAAAATACATTGCGGCCTAACAAATTGCCGAATTTGAAAGTTGGATCTGCTTGCCTAAACGGCAGTCTCGTACGCCTATGAGGAAAGAAGAGTAATTAACATCGTTGGTCACGTATGCTCACTGTCGAAGTCTTATCTCACTTTCATTTAATGGATGCGATTAAAATTCCAAAATGAAATTATACCTCCTAAAACACGTGGTGTTTTCCACAAGACAATGTTCTAGCTTGTTTTCAGAAGATCAAATAGATAGCACATATACGTCACAGCGAATGGAAAATCATATTATTAACACTCTCACACCTAAAGCATTCAACACGTTTGTATTTTAATTCTTTGTATTGTAAAATACACAAGACATAGAATCATTATTATCACAAGTCAGTCTAGTGGTATTGATTTGGGACATATTTTCATCATTTAATATGCGCCATATTGACATATGTGGTGATCTTACATTTTCTGACATTTCCACAATCACATTAGTCATGCATTAAAAGAAAGAAAATATTCCTGGGATATATATGAATAGCAGTATCGCATTCCTTGTGAAAGCGACTTTGTAATGAAGTGGAAAACTCGATCAAGAACATAGTTAGGAATATGTTTCTAAACTAATTTAGTTTCTTTCTAATCAAATGATTGTTATACAGTACTACATGTGTCTTTACAGCCTATATATGGGAAACTATGGACATAGAAAACAAACATCTGATATTGGTTTTCATGCACAAATCCTCTTGCAAAAACATCACTCCAAGGAGCAAGATACTAAATATTCTCGTGAAGCTAAGATGACTATTTGTAAGAAACAAAAGAACTTTAGTCTCCTCAAACGTCCGTGTTCGCGACCTTGTCCTTCGCATTTGCTTT